GTAAGTGAAGTTTTAACTAATATTTTTGAATTACTATGTGTACGCCTAGAATTCTGTGGTATTTTCATAAATATTCTTCTTATAAATATTTGTTGAAATACTAAATATGCTAGTTTAATTTTCAGAATTATAGTCATCGATACTTAGAGCGTATTTATATAGGTTTTTCTATGTTATTTTATCTGATAAAAGATTGGACAAGTCGCCATTTAGAATAATTTGTCCTTAGTTTGGTAAGCTAATATTACTAAGCAAGTTTCCAATTTAACTTGATATTTTATCGTAGGATTAAAAATCTTCCTATGAATTCATACTAGACAAAGTAACGCTTGAGTTTAAAATTTTAAAAGAATCTACGATATTTTAAATATGAATATCGTTGTTTTGTTGTAAATGACTAAGATTACTACTTTGTATGCTTGAATTAGTATTTTGAAGTATTGTTTACACTTAACCAAATATATTATTTTTCTATTTGGCAAAATTGTTTTATTATGATGAGCTAAAGATTAAATATGATAACTAAGCAGTTACTTTGTTCGCAAATGTCGACAAAAGGGAGAATTTAGGTATTTAGAGAGATAATTGCTATATATTTTAAATCATTATACTTGCGAAATCATTCAATTATTATGAAAGCTAATTGCTTTTACTGATGTCTTCTGCTATGATGCTTAAAGTCACTAGTTAGTTATTGACTTAATTATTTGAGCTTTATAGAGCTTATGAAGTGAGTTGATTGACCAGTTAATAATATTCGTCAGCTGTTTTTTTCTATGCTTAAACCATTATTATAGAAGATGTATTATAAACTCCTAGGTAAGAATCCATAGCCTATGCCATAACAACTAGATTTCCCCTAGGCAATACTGTTTGAATTGAGTTGTTTATAGTCTAATCTTATATTTATCTTCTTAAAATATTCCAAGGAGAAACCAATTCTTGATTGGCATCATCTGCACTATTATAATAGAAGAATTGATAAGTCAGAGGAAGATCTTCATCTTTACAATTCAAGAATTAAATTTAGAAGATAGTCTCAAGGGCTATGCCTTATGAGGGACTTACATTTAAAACACAATTCTGAGGAGGAATGTTTATTTAAATGCTAATTGTAGACAAGCTTGGCATAACAAATAGAGGATTGTACACAGAAAATCTTATTTAAAGTGTTGGATTTGAGGGATTTATATTTTAAAAATAGTCCCAAATTCTGAATCTAATTTAGAAATAATCAAATTTAATAGCTGCAACTGGATCACTATTGTATAGTATAGCTCCTGCATAAGACAAGTAATCTGATGAAACATTCTCACCATAAAGTATTTAGAAATTAAGGTCATCATTCAAATTAATTTTTTGATTAATGTGCGATGCTGCAGATAAAATATTTAGAGGAGGTACGTCTAATTCTGTGAAAATACAAGTAGTTGTGTATTTTTTTTGTCTAGAATCTTTTTATCCAACAACAGTAAACTAAACTGCAGTGTATGGTTAAAACGTTTTAGCAGGAAATGTAATACTGCTAGCTCCTTGTTACAATTAAATCTAATTATTTTATTAATCATAGCAAATATGGTCTTAAGACGAAAGACTATAACATTACCAACTCAAGTTGATATTTGAGGGAGAATTTGGATCTTGCAACTCATAATCCCTCGAATCTGTATTTAAGACCATTTTATTAGTATAGCCTTAAACAAGACTTGATCCTCCAATAATTTATAAATACAAATCTGTGATTTAAATATTAACAGATATCTTTTGGATGGCAACAACATTACTATCTGAACTCAAATTTAAAATCAGCTATTATTAAAATTTAATATTTAAAAACAAATAAGAAAATATAAGTATTTTTTTTTGGCATTTTGAAGAGGTATAATTTAAATTTGAACTTTAAAATGAAGAGTTTTAAAATTTTGATGGTATTTCTTAGAATTATTTATAAAAATTTACACTCATATCAAATTTTTAGTTAGATGCTAAGGTGTATGGGAGAATATCATATTGAAAGCTCATTTAATTATATTGATTTAAGTTTTGCTTTTATAGCTGGTTAGAAACTAGTTGTAAATCAATAGGCTCATTATTAATATAAGTCATTTAACCAAGCTCACAGATCTAAATGTAGAACTAAAAGTAGAAACTCAAGCTCATATATCTATTTTTTTATTTTAAGAATAAATTATATTTATAGAAAATATCTATTGATTATAAAGAAAAATTAACCTATAAATTGGTGGATATACAGATTGCTAATAAGTGATTCTTATAAATTTTTATTTTTGATAAGCTATGGTGAAGGTTTAAGTACCAGCTTAGTTAACCTTAAGTAAATAGTTAAGAGATATAGCAATATTAATATTTGGAGGTATGAATTTAGGATCTATAATTAAACTAGTGTTTTTGTTTTAGCTTGCTTCTAATAAAATCTACTTTATATTTTCTTACTGGTCATTGCTTATGGAGCCTACTATTTGATTTAAAGTCCAATTAAAACTCATAAATTTTCTTCCTGCGTCATTCTAAAGACCATAAAGAGTTATATTTATAGGGTTGCAGCTGTTTTCTATGTGATTATAACTAAATTGAAGTTAAGGAATTCCAGGAGGCTCTTAGAAAATTATATTTCTATAGAAAGTGTTAATAAAGTATCCACTATAATCTACAAACTGTAATTTATTTGGCAAAAGAGTTATCTAATTATTTTCCATTATTGTTGATGAGTCACCTATGTATTTATTTATCAAATTAAATTAAATTTAAATTAAAATATTTTCTTATTAATATATATTATAAGTTGAATTGAATATTTTATAAAAAAGTTACTTAAATTAACCAAAATTTGATTCCCACTGATTTAGCATTAAGAATCTAACCCAATCGTGGCTAAAGTTGCTTAATCAAATATCTGTGAGCACAAAGACTAAGGTGTATTTGATATGATATTAATCAATGGAGATCCAAAATCAATTGAGAGCTATGGAGATGTGGCACTTAATTTTGCATCAAGGACAGCAATATTTTGATAACTGCATTAATAAAATATATTCCTTTTATCATTTTAGTTTTTGCAAACACATGTATTACTTAAAACATCTAATTATCTTGTTTCATTATAGCAAGTCTTACATTATTAATTTAAAATCGATGATTAATCACATAGTTAACAGGTGGGGTAGCAGGCATTGCATTATAGGCTCAAATAATTTTAGCATGAATCGCATGTGAGCTAAATATTATTACTTTAAAACCCATTTGGGCAAAGACTAACACAACTTTTGTTGTAGAGAAAGCTATTAGGGTAGCAACTCAAACAATTGTTTGAATCCTTTCCATCACAGCTTGCACAACTAATATCACATGACTAACACAACTATGAGATTTAATTAGGATATTGGTTTTGATTACATGATTGTACACACTGCTTTGTAGCTTACTAATAATATAAGCCAGGATTACAGGATAAGCAATTATTAGAGCTAAGACCGTCACAAGTTTTACAGGTTGAATGGCAAGTGCAAATTTTTTAGATTGTATCAATATATAAGCCAGAATTACAGGATAAGCAATTGTTAGAGCTAGGACCATCACAAGTTTTACAGGTTGAATCACAAGAGCAACTTTTTGTCTGTGGATTATAATATATGCCAGGATTACAGGATAAGCAATTGTTAGAGCTAGGACCATCACAAGTTTTACAGGTTGAATCACAAGAGCAACTTTTTGTCAGTGGATTATAATATATGCCAGGATTACAGGATAAGCAATTGTTAGAGCTAAGACCATCACAAGTTTTACAGGTTGAATCACAAGAGCAACTTTTTGTCTGTGGACTATAATATATGCCAGGATTACAGGATAGGCAATTGTTAGAGCTAGGACCATCACAAGTTTTACAGGTTGAATCACATTTGCAACTTTTTGCCTGTGGATTATAATATATACCAGGATTACAGGATAAGCAATTGTTAGAGCTAGGACCATCACAAGTTTTACAGGTTGAATCACAAGTGCAACTTTTTGCCTGTGGATTATAATATATGCCAGGATAACAGGATAAGCAATTGTTAGAGCTAGGACCATCACAAGTTTTACAGGTTGAATCACAATTGCAACTTTTTGTATTTGGATTATAATATATGCCAGGATAACAGGATAAGCAATTGTTAGAGCTAAGACCATCACAAGTTTTACATGTTGAATGACAAGTGCAAATTTTTTAGATTGTATCAATATATGAGCCAGGATTACAGGATAAGCAATTATTAGAGCTAGGACCATCACAACTTGCACAGTTATTATCGCATAGTTAACATTATTGCTATTAATTTACAAATTAATTACTATTACAAGAACTTACACACTAGTTAATAGCTTGCTAATAATAAAACCCAGAAGAACATTATAAGCATATTTAATTATAATCACATTTGTCACAATTTATTTGACACTTTTAATATTAAATAATGTAAATATTTTTTTAAAAGAGAGAATTCATATTTAAAAAGTTTAGAGAAAAGTTATTTGCTATATATTAATTAATTAATTTTTTAACATTTTAATTAATAATTTTTATGCCTCTCTCTATTAACAAATTTAATAATTAATTTTACAAATTGTACAGCTAAATTTATTTCAGTAAAATAAATTTGATATGTTTACCCAAGGTTAACATTCAATGGAGTCAATTTAATAGTTATACTATCTACATTTTACTTATCTTAAAACAAGAAATGTAAAGAAGTGTAATAATTATCTGAATTAACAGTCTATTGGGTAGACAAACTATTATATTACATATTATTTATTTCAATAATGGAATATAAAGTAGTTGGCTAATAAGGAATTATTGCCTTAAATTTAAATGAAAACCCAATAGAATATATCTTTGTAGCCCTAATTTATTTTTAAAATATTTAAGTAAATATTAAAATATCAAATTAAAGTATTAAAAATAATTAATTGTGAATTTTCTTTTAGATTTTAAAATAAAATTAATGCAAGGAATATAAATTATAGATTTAAAAAAGAATTATATATATATTCCTAAAATAAATTATGTTTTGTTAATAACTGGTTTTACGGGTTTTAAGAAGTATATTTTATTATTATTTGATTATCTAAAGTACAACTATTCCCTGATAAGTAACTTGTTTGATCTTAGGGAAATAAACTTGAATTTAAGCAATTAGTGTCTAAGAAGTAATTTTTAAGGCTGTCTATATCAGATTGTAATGCAGGGTTAATATAATTAAATAGGCATTAACTAACTTTAGTTTATAAAAAATGATTTAATGATAAATTTATAATAGAAAATAAGTTTACAATTAAGATTAAAACTTCCAGTGCTAGTTAAAAAACCTCCACAATCTTAATTTTATCCAGCATACAAATATTTTAAGACTGTTTAATTAATTATAAAATAATTAAATCCTTTTTTGCATAATTTATTAATAAAAAATTTTACTTTGTAAAATAAAGAAGAGACCTATTCTGATTTTCTGAGTTTTCATTGTTTATTCCATTTACCTTTATGAGATTTATGGTAATAATTGTTTGTGATTAATTACATATTATAAAATAAATAGATAGCATATGCTTTTTATTAGTATGTTATTCAAACATTAGTTATTAAGTTAGTCAGTAAAAAATAAATTAGTTCTATTTGAATTTATAAAACCTTAGATTCTAATTTAGGGGGGGAGGGAGGGGAGAGCGATATAAGCGTATTTATTACATCCATTTTTTTTTAAAATAAACTAAAATAATATATTTATTAGAATTCAATATGTCAACTCCCCTTTAATTTAATTAAATAAACCCTTCTAAAACTGTGTTTAGAAGCAAAAATCTTAAGACTAGTCATTTTATTAAGCGAAATGCATATTAGTTTTATTTGAGATTAAGAGGTGAATCTAAATATTTTAAGGCAAAAATTAATTTGTGAGTTTTTAAACTCTGGTTATTTTAAATAGTTTACACTAAAACCAATATTAAATTTATAGCCTATAATGATCCAATCCTTAATCAATAAATAAAATAGTAAATTAGTTTAACTGTTAATTAAATTATCTCTTACTGTTTAATTAGTGGGATTTGGCATGCTTATAAACTAATACACAAACCTATTCAATAATCTGTAATTTAAATTAATGCTCTAAATAATATTTTTTAATTGCTTTTATTTTCATATAAATTTGTATTTATTTTTTAGCGCTTTAATAGTAATAATTATTTTATAAACCTTTAAATAAAATCATATGCTCAAAATTGTTATAAACAAGCAAATAATTTAAAGCTCTTTATAAGCTACATTTTCATTTAATTCATAACATCTCTTATTTTTTGATAAATTAATTTTGGTGAAGATTCTATCATTATTAAGAAGAGTTAGATGGTTACAAATGATAATTAATGAATATGATTAATTCTTAGATCTCATGAATCTGATTAATTCTTAAAGCTGAATAAGCTTTTAATTTTTTAATAATAAACCAGTATCTATTCCATAATAAATTAATTCATTTAATAGTTTCATTCTATTTTAAAAATATATCTTAAATTTAAAATCTTAATAGAATAATCTATTATGAATATTTAACAAAATTATTAAAATATATTCTTTGTTTGTTGTAATTTTAATGTTACCACTAATAGTTTTAAGTTAAATATACAATCATAGCTTTTTCAGATTTAAAAAATATACAATTTATATAAAATCTAATGAATTATTAATTAAAAATGAATGTAAGTCAATAAAGCGCATTTCTATCTATCTAATAGTAATAGACATATTTAAAAATTTTCATAAATCTATTTAAAAACAGTAAAAAAAGAGAAATGTTTTCTTTAAATTGGTAAAATTATTTTTTTATAGAAGATGCGTAAAATGAATGTTTTACAAAAAAATACAAAGAACTATTTATTCTTCATATAAATGAAAAATCATAAAATTTTATTTTTCGCTTTATTTACATCCCATTCTTAATAAAAACCCTCTACATGCACGAATCGCCTCCGCAACCGTAAAAGTTAGAGATTCAATAATGAAGTTAAATTGTTTTAGTTATCTCTAACTAAATGAGTGAATTCTATTGATTGTTTTACTAACTTTAACGCTTGAAATTAACATAAAATTGAATTCAACTTATATAAAAATAAGAATAATTGATTGCATATAATCAATATCTAAAATTTAGACAATAAAAAATAATCTAGATTAAAATTAATATTTTTATTTATTTATAATTGATCTAATCTACAATTTCATCTTAAGTGATATTTACATTCTAATAAATACTAAAAAAATATTCCCTGAGAACCACGAACGATATAGCAGCTATTTTTTAAACCAACTTAATACTTTTTCTAAAATTTAACCTTAAAATATCTTTGATTAAATATTAATCAATTTATTTTAAAATTCATATTCTAACTATAGCTTTGTAAAATAGATATCGTATTTCCTGACGTAAGAGATCTGATCCGAATGTCTGAGGTTGTTATTTTTTTCAGATATTATAATAAAATAAAAATCTCTACTTTTTTCATCTTAATTTGACATATAAAGTGGATAATACGGTAATACATGATAATCTAATTTTTACTTTTTTAAAAAATTATTAAATAATATTTAGACATTTTATTTATTTTCTAATGATAAATTTTATTGTTTTTTAATAGTTTTTATGACAAAGTTGAATTATAGATCTATTGAAAAATAATCCTATCATAATTATACTAATTAGTATCTAATAATTAATTTCTGTGGGATATAATTAATTAAATTGTTTATCTATTTTACTAACTTACAATTTTTTATTTGGCAGCACTCAATCATAATAATCAATATTTAATTAATCTAGTTATTTTTGATACTTTACCTTTTTTATTTAGAGAAAATATCTAATAAACTCTTAATTCAACAGCATTTATTGTATATCTAATAAATTTATTAATTATCTATTTCTTTTTCATCTCCTACACTATTTCATGTTATTTATTCTAAAGTAAAAATATAAAATCTGATATAATAATGATAAAATATTTTTTATTTTGAAGCTAAATATCTATATATCTATGTATTATATTCTATCAAAAATAAAGAAAATTATTTTTAAGATTAAATAATCATAAAAGATAATAGGATTTAATTAAAAATCTTGTTAATTCTAAATAAAAAAACTATAGTATAAAAATATATTAGAATTTTTAACTCATTTTAACATTTTCGATATTAATTTTATTTTTAAACTGAAATATAATTTATAATAAATTTATTTAAAATAATTATTTCCAAAATAAATAAATATAATGTACATCTTTTGATTAAGTACAAATAAATTTAGCCATTCCTGATTTTAAAATTCCGCTGAGGTAAAAAGTCAAATTTTAGCAAAAATTTAGAAAAAAAGTAAATAAAAATAAATTAACGGTATAGATTAGAGTTTGCTCTACAAAATATATAAACATTTTTAAAAAATTGTTGCCCTATAATTGACTGATCTGAATATATTAAATTCTGGACTTAGTTACGTTGAACTATAGTTTTACATTTCAGTTTCTTACTAATAATTATCATTTGGTGAAGAGTCTAATACTTATTAATTTAGATTTGACTGATTTTATTAAATTTTTGATTTTTATATTCAAATGAATGTCAATTATTCACTTTATGCTTAGGAATAAATACAAATTGCTTTAGCTGATTTTCATTAAAAAAGATGTGTTTAAATTTTTCAAATTCCAATATCTTATTGACAATAAAGTTAATATCTGTGTATTCTGTTATTTTTTGCTGGCTGAAATCTATAAAGTTTGAAACCTTATTGCGCTTAAAACAGCTAAAGTAATGGTAAATAAAATTTTTGAATTATATGCCCAACTTATTAGTTTGGCTGATACCATTTTTGATCTTTTAAAATAATTCATTCTTTAAAGTCTAGCCTTAAGAAGATCTATGTTTAGGATTACCTTTTTTTTTGTTAAGTAAAGAGTTAATCATTGGACTATTTCCATATCTTCTTACCTTTGTACTCTCATTTTAGATTATAGAATTTTTAAGTTTTATTTTTTCATTTTTTTGTAGATTTTCTTTGTTATTCACTTTAGATTTTTCTTCTTTAATGTAATCTTTAAATTACTCTCCTTGTTTAGTCATTTAATTACTTTCATCAATTTTATTTTCTTTCATAACTAAAAGTAAACGTTTGGTCGACGAGCTCTCTTTTAAGTGGTAGCGAAGTGTATGGCTGGCTTAGCTAAATGTAGCCAACAAAAAACAATATGTTGTAAAAACCACCAATTTAAGAAATGACCAAGCTCAGCTTAGTATATGTTCTGTTAATATTTAATCTTTGCTTTTTTTTCCAAATATATTATAAGCTTGAAAATGCCTTAAGAAGTATCTTTTCCTGTTATAGCTGACTGCTAAGAGAATATCAATTAGCTTTACTACTAAATATCAGAACTTATCAATCCAATATCATCATTTTCATGGGTATTCATGTATGTGAAAGATACTATTTACAAAGCATTTGTATTTACACTGTAGTAAGTACCACTTGTGTATGGTATAAAAGGATTTTAATAGTTTTCAGCTTAAACTATATAATCTGAATAATAAACATGCATTTATTTATTATTATTTTTATTGGTTATTACTTAAGGATCTGCACAACCTTTGCCCTAGCAAGTAGAGATAGTATTTAATTTCCCGAATAAATATTTGTTTCAACTTAGCCTTCTAAGTAGAGATTATCTATGTCTTAAATACAATAAAGCTATTAATAATTGTAATTAACAGTGAATTAACTCTAGAGTGCAAGATCCAAATTTTATATCATTAAAGACTGATTAATATTTAGTATTTCCATTTTTGTCTTAAACAGGCACTTCTAATGAATTAAGCATTTGCCTTATAAATTGTTTCATCCATAAAAGGATTTTAGTTAGCGTCCAAAATACCAAAAGCAAAAATAAAAATTATTTCTATTTAAGTTAACTCTTGAAGGAATTTTTAATTCATTTTACTGAATTAGTTAAGGGTTTTCCTTTCTATAAATGACCAAACCATTCATAAATATTTAAAAAATACAAATATTACAAGAGAAAGACTTGCTGAATATTTAAATTTTAATAAATTTGTTGCATATTTTGTTATTTATCTTTTGTGTTATTTCTGCATAACATAAGTGACTTTTTAAATAAAATTAAAATTTCTGAAGGAATTTATTCCTGTTTATTGTTTCAAATAACTATTGACATTAAAAATTGATTCAGTGTTATATTTATATCATTCTACTCATCAATTAATTATGAAGAAATTTAAAAAAGAATTAGTTAACTAACTATCTTCTAATGTTTGACCATATTTTTAATCAATGAGGAGTAAACAAATATAATTAATTGAAAAATAAAAATTATTTTGATAATTCGAACATTAATTAATCTATTTTAATATTTTTATTAATTGTTATAAATCAAGCAACCAACAATTAAGAGTATCGACTCTTACTTTAGAATTTATATTAAAAAATAATATTTTACAAAAAAAAATAATTAAGAATATTGTATGTAATCTTACTGATTAATTTAAATAGAAGCTAAAATATTAAAAGAGTTTATTTTAATAAAATAAATAATTTGTAATAAAATTCTATTTAAAGTACTATTTTTAAATTACTTTATTAGTGATAATAAAAATATAAAACTATTTTAATAAAATTCAAATTTATTATTAAAATGATATTTATTCTCCTCCCTTTCATTTCAAAAAATTTTTGAATTAATTCTGTTTATTCACTTTAGATTATATTTTATATATAATTATTTTAAAATAGATTAATGAGTAAGTATCATAATCAATTATTAAATTTAGAAATTATAATGTTGTCTTAATAGCTAGTTTTTTAAAACAAAAATTTAATAACTTTTAAATAAATAAATAATAAAAAAATTGAAGTATAAAAAAATATAAAAAGCAAAGTATGTATATATTTACTATTTATATTCAAAAATTTATTATTAATAAAAGCTATTGATAATATAAAAACTGATTACTAATAATTTTATTATTTAATATTAATTACTTTATTAAACTAAGAAAAATGTGAATATTACTGAGATATTTATCAAAATAATTAATAAAATATCTAAATTTATATCAATTTTTGTTATACTTTCTTCAGAAAATTTAACAAATATCTAAATTTAGAGTAATTTTCGTTATACTTTCTTCAGAAAATTTAACAAAAACTAAAATATTTGAAAAAAATTTTAATTAATTAATTTATTTATTTCATCTTAATCTTTTTTTTAAAAATGCAGCTATCTTCTTACAGCTAATAAAACCTAAAAATTAATTACCATAAAGTAGAGAAATGAATTTGTTGTTTATAATTTCAAAAAAAAAGATAAATAGTCTTATCCTTAATATATTTTTGGCTTATAAATGTAAAAGTCATTAAATAAATCATTAGATACAGAATAGCTGTCCTCACAGTTTTAATTTTTTTGACTCTTTAATTTAGCAGAAAATTGACTATTTCTTAACAATTTTTACAAATTATTTAAATAAAATTTTTAAAAATAGGTTTTAGTAAATAAATATAAAAGGTTGTCTAAAAATTCATGTCCCTTTGAAAATAATTTACTAATAAGACATATCAAAGATATAAAATATCTGGCATTTATAGATTTAAACCACCTCTATTTGAATATGGTATCAACGTTTTAATATATTTAATTACAGTTAGAAAAATTAATTTCTTTATATTATTAATTTGAAATAAAATTAGAAAATTAAGTTATGAAATTAATTTTATATGAACTTTATTCTCTTATTAATCATTTAGATTTCAATATATAAATAACAAAGTAATAAATTATTTTAAATTTGAACTAAAATTTAGTTAATTATTATGAGCAATAATTAATTATTAAGTCATAAAACGTAATAGAAACTTAATCATAGCTTTTAAAAAATCTTTCACATCAAATGAAACCTAATATAATTTAGAGTAATTTTGTGTTTATTATTCTGTCAGGCAAAAAAATTTAAAAGCGGATGCTCATAAAAAGGAGAAAATCTAATAGCTCAGCCAAAAGCAGGTAAGAGAAAGATTATAAAATGAAGATTTATTCTATAGTAGATCTCTATTGATAGGTTTCATACATAGTCTCTGTATACTTATGAAAAATACTTAGACGCTTTAGAAGATATAGACTACAGAGAATATTAATCTGATGAAAGATAAATATGAAGATATCAATAGTCTGATATACAGAAATATAATGAGAAGAATAAGAAAATATTTTAAGAGAAAGTAAATTTTTTATAGACATTAACTATCTTTTGCTAACAGTTTATATAAGAATAGAAGGATTTAAAATCTGAAGAAGGTATTTAATATCTATTCCTTGATAAATGAAAGATATTAATTACAGTGAATGTATTTTAATAGAGAGTTTAAAGATATAATTATAATATAAAGATTATAATAGTAGGAGATTAAAGGCAATCAATATATCAATTCAGAGGATGCTAAGAAAATGTTTTTGGAAAGTCGAAGAAGTTACTTAAAAGAAAATAGATAGATTATAATATGGAAAAGTTACAAAAAACATAAAGGTTTGGTATTAAAGTTGTTATATATAATGTTATTTATGAAATGGAAATGACTACTGACATAATACTTATGATTTTGAGCGATTAAAACTAATGAGAGAAAATTATGTAGAGATTTTAACAGAAATCTATAATAAGCTGTATTTATAGTAAGTATTAGATAACTAACTAACAACTAAGAAAAGATGAAATACTCTTTACATGTATTCTATTTGTATCTAGCCTTGAAAAAGGCAGTAGCCTAGTGTACTATATATAATAGAATGTTTTACTGTTTATAAAAATGAATTATTAATCTTAAAATAATAGATGTGAAATAGATAATAATTAAAAATTCGACTCAAAAGTGTAAGGTAGAATTATCTTTAACAATTTCTAAATTATAAAAATTTACTGTCTAACTTTAATGAAATTAATCAAAAATTGTTAATTTTATAATTTGGTTTAATTTATTTATTTATTTTAAATTGATGTAAAATTTAATTTATCATCAAATATTTTAAAATAAAATATAATAATAATTTTTTCTAAATATTTAAAACTATATTTCCTAAAATATATCTTTCTTTATTGAAGTTATTTACAGATAGATAGAAACTTAATTATTAATTAAAATGAAAAATTATTTCTGAAATTAAATGGTTTTTTTATTTAAAATAATAAAATAATAAATAAATAAATAAATAAATAAATAAATAAATAAATAGTTAAATCTTACAAAACTTAATCAAACGATTATATTTAAACCATTAAAAAAATAATAACCAGAACCTATAAAATATCTAATCAGATCGTATTATAAAAATGAATGTATATCTTTCTATATTTTTTTTAATTGATCAAAGAAAAACAGCAGATTTTATTTATTTATTAATTATTAGATTACATTTAAAATAAATTAGAAAATATTTAATTAAAAATATAAAACATTAAATTTAAAAAAATACTGATAAAAAAATTAAAATTATTTTTTAGCAAAAAAATTTGAAATAAGTTTCAAAAGAAATAGATAGAAAATTGTAATTTTATATAGGCTTAAATTATGGTATTTAAGTTAGATGTTTTTATGAGAAGAGAATAAATAAGAAGACTTATTTATTAATTAATTAATATATCTTTTTAGGATGGTACAAATTAAATAAGAATATTTAAAAATAGTTAATCAAGAATTTTTAATTAATCAAAATTATTAATTTCTGATAATTAATTAATTAATTAACTAATAATCAAAGAAATATTAATGGCTAATAAAGAAAAAAAAATGGAGTAATAGAATAACTCTTTTAATAATCTAGAAGATGTATCCATCATTTTTTATTTTATTTATTATTATAAAACCTTTTTTTTAAATAAACAGTTAATCAAATCTAACTTGTAAGCTCTAACTCATATTGACTTACAGTTAAAGTAAGAAATATATTTTTATATTTATTTATTAATTTTTAATCATAAATTTTTAAAAGCAATATTTATTAATTTTAATAAAAATAAATAAATATTTTAAAAATTTTCTCTTTTTTATATATTTACAAAATAAATTAGAATAAATAAAATTTCATATCTTTCATTCATTCATTTATTCATAAATAAAATTTCATATAATCATTCATTCATTCATTCATTCATTCATTCATTTATACATTAATAAAATTCTTTTGTTATTATTAATAAAATAAATAGAAATTGTACTCTAAGTAAAGAATAAGTTGCTTAGCTTAACACTTGTTTAGTCTAATGTTAAAAATTAGAATCTTTAGTATTAAATCTTAAGTAATGATTTAACTTTATTATCTTAAATATCATAATTGATTACTTTTTATTATCAATCTAATATTTAGTAAGGAAAATATTTCAGATGATTAGATTAATTAATTATTTTTAGAATATCCCTACTTTAAATCTTTTGTTGAAACTGGTAATAATATGAGGTAAATATATTTTTTATTTTAATAAATCATAAATTTAGCCAACAAATTGTTTAACAAATTATAATATTGTCTTTTAACTCTTGCTATTTCTAGCATTAATAAAAAGCTAAAAGTTTGAATCTTGCTTTTTAAATTATGTTAAATAATACACTAATTTATATCTTTTTATTAATTTAAATAGCAATGATTAAATATATGACCAAATTCTGTTTTTCAGAAGTATTTTTTATGAAGGATACGAAGCTTGTTAAGAACCTAGGTAAAATAGAGTTATTGGTACTTAATTAAAATATTTTTTAATTTTAAAGATTAAATGAAATTGAAAATAAAAGTAATATTCTATTAGAAGAAACGATGGGTAATCTAATTAATCTCAACAGTTTAGACTTAATATTAGAGTATTCTTTTTTTATTTTATTTTTTTAAAATAAATAAATAGTTTATCTTTCAAAACTCATTAAAATTTTTCATTATTAATAGAAAATTATTTTAAATAAGTTTTTTAATAAAAGTGGAAATTCAATTGGTGATGAAGGTGCAGTTTAAATTTGCACAGTTCTACGTAGATGTAAAACACTTACTAGCTTAAATCTGCAGCTTTGGTAATTTTATTTTAATTATATTACATATTCAGTTATATTTATTGTATTGTTTTAAAAGTAAATAAATTATTTATCAAAAATATTTTATGAAAAGGAAAAATAAAATGGGTAATACAGGGATGTAGAGTATTGCAGAAGGTATTAGTAGTTGTGTTAAACTCACAAGTTTAATTTTAAATGCAGGGTAAATTTTATTGATTATAAATTTAAAATTTAAAATGATTTATCAATATAATTTTTTTTTCTAATTTTAAAAACTTAAAAAAGCTAAAATTTATTTGGGAAAGAAGGTGCATTTTATATTAGTACAGCATTAAGTAGCTGTAGAAATTTGACGCATTTAGATATTTGCCTGTCGTAACTAATTTTAATTATTTTAAAGGATAAATTTATAATTAATTGTAGATGCTTTAATAAATTTTTTAATCTATTTAATCCTTAAATAATTTTTGGGTTGTCATTAATTTTTATTGATTTATTATTTTATGTTTTATAAGCAACAATTAAATTGGAGAAGAAGGAGCATCTATTTTTTGTAGAGTAATAGGTAGCTGTAAATTACTTATTAATCTAAAATGCATGCTTTGGTAATTTTTATTTTTCATTTAAAATTAAAAATATTTTAACATTTATTATATTTTTCATTTGTTTAAAAAGTTTAAATTAATCTATGAAAGAATGGTAAATATATTTATTCGTATATTATTTTTTTATAATAAAAGTAATAATTAAATTGGGGATGAAGGAGCAAATTCTTTTGGAATAGCAATAAGTAGCTGTAAGTTACTAACTCATTTAAAATTTAATCTTAGGTAATTTTAATTTTAAAATATTGACAATGTAAAAATATTTTGTTAAATTTTTATTTTTGAGATTAGTTTAAAAAAATTAATGAACTAATAATTTGATTTATTTTGTTTAAAAAGGGAGAATAAAATAGGTGATAAAGGGGCATTAAACTTTGGATTAAGTTTAAGTAAATGCCATTAACTTACCAGTTTAGATATTGGAATCGAGTAATTAATTATCGTTTTTTATTATTTAAAAAAATTATATGATAAACAAATTCATTTAAAATAATTTAATTTAAAATGTTTTTATTGATTTAATATATTTATTAATAAAAGATTAAATTAAATTGGAAATGATGGAGCTTCTGCTATTGGTAGGGCTATTGGTAATTGTAAATTCCTGACAAATCTCTAGTTTTAGATTTAGTAAAATTAATTTTATCTTTTTCTATCCATAGCTTAAAAAACTTTTAATTATTTTACTTATTTTAAATTAAATTCCATAAAATATTTAAATAATTAATTAAATAATTTATTTTATTTGAATAGTCGAAATAAAATTGGAGATAAAGGGGCTTAAAATATTGGATTAGGCTTAAGGAATTGCACTTAACTTATAAATTTAAAATTTATTATAGGGTAAATTTTATTTATTATTTTTGAAAAAAATTATCTAAAAGCTTTATTATTTAAACTGAATTAAATAAGCTTAAATTTTATAAAATATAATGTCACTAACTTTAATTAAACATGATTTTCATTAATAAAAGCAAAAATTAAATTGGGAATGATGGAGCTTCTACTATTGGTACAGCACTTGAGAACTGCAAATTCCTTAATTATCTCAATTTTGATATTTGGTAAAAAATATTTTATATTTATTTATTGATAACTTAAAAAGTTTGAATTACTTTTTTTATTTTAAATCAAATTTAAATAGTTAATAAATTGATTTATTTTATAAGGAAAAATCAAATAGGTGATAGAGGAGCATAAAATATAGGATTAGGTTTGAGTAACTGCACTCAACTAACAAATTTACAATTTTACATAAGGTAATTTATCTCATTTATTACTTTTGAATAAAATTATGAAAAAACTTTTTTATTTAAACTGAATTAAATAAGCTTAAAATTTATAAAATATATGCCTTTAACTTTAATTAAACCTGATTTTTTTTTATAAAAGCGAAAATTAAATTGGGGATGATGGAGCTTCTACTATTGGTACAGCACTTGGGAACTGCAAATTCCTTACTAATCTCAACTTTTAAATTTGGTAACATTAATTTTATATTAATTTATCGATAATTTAAAAAGTTCGAATTACTTTTTTTATTTTGATTTAAATGTCAAATCAAATTTAAATAGTGAATAAATTGATTTATTTTGTTTGAAAAGGAAAAATCAAATTGGTGATAGAGGAGCATAAAATATTGGATTAGGTTTGAGTAACTGCACTCAGCTTACAAATTTAGGATTTGGGATAAGGTAAATTTATCTCATTTATAATTTTTGAATAAAATTATGAAAAAACTTTTTTATTCAAACTAAATTAATTAAGCTTAAAATTTATAAAATATATGCCTTTAACTTTAATTAAACGTGATTTTCATTTATAAAAGTTCAAATTAAATTGGGGACGATGGAGCTTCTACTATTGGTACAGCACTTGGTAACTGCAAGTTCCTTACTAATCTCGACTTTAATATTTAGTAACATTAATTTAAAATTAATTTATATATAATTTAAAAAGTTCGAATTACTTTTTTTATTTTGATTTAAATGTCAAATCAAATTTAAATAGTGAATAAATTGATCTATTTTGTTTGAAAAGGAAAAATCAAATTGGTGATAGAGGAGCATCAAACATTGGATTAGGTTTGAGTAACTGCACTCAACTCACAAATTTAGAATTTGGGATAGGGTAAATTTATCTCATTTATAATTTTTGAATAAAATTATGAAAAAACTTTTTTATTCAAACTAAATTAATTAAGCTTAAAATTTATAAAATATATGCCTTTAACTTTAATTAAACCTGATTTTTATTTATAAAAGCTAAAATTAAATTGGGGATGATGGAGCTTCTACTATTGGTACAGCACTTGGTAACTGCAAGTTCCTTACTAATCTCAACTTTTAAATTTGGTAACATTAATTTTAAATTAATTTATCGATAATTTAAAAAGTTCGAATTACTTTTTTTATTTTGATTTAAATGTCAAATCAAATTTAAATAGTGAATAAATTGATCTATTTTGTTTGAAAAGGAAAAATCAAATTGGTGATAGAGGAGCATAAAATATTGGATTAGGTTTAAGTAACTGCACTTAGCTTACAAATTTAAAATTTGGGATAAGGTAAATTTATCTCATTTATAATTTTTGAATAAAATTATGAAAAAACTTT